ACTTATTTAATACTTACTTTAATTATTTTCCACTCATTTTCAGTTGGCATTAAATTTTGAATTTCCCGATTTTTAACAACCAATAATTGCAAATCACGCCACATTTTTTCCAACTTTCTTAACATATTGTAAGTCGAATTCCATCTTGTCTTACAATCTAATTCTGGTCTCAAGTATGTAATTTTTGCGTACAAGCATAAATTTTTTAACTGATCGCTAATTACTATTGAATGTTTAATTTTACTCATTAATTCTTGCACTTTAATAACTTCATCCGATATTAATTCAAGTCCTTGTTGTGCAGCAAGATTAAGGATGTGGGCTGAATATCGATAATGTTTAAAATTTTGAGAATTAAGTTGTAAAATTAATTGTTGTCCAAGCGTTCTTCCACACACAAGCATGGCTAACTCATTATCTGTTGTAAGGGCCAAAGTTTTTTCTTGAAGATTAAAATTATTTAAAACGTTATTAATTGATATTGCAATATTAACTCCTATATGGCGTTTAGTAAAGGATATAATATCTAATAAAAAATTCTGCAACTTCTAATTTTGATTGATATAATGAACTGTAAGGCCAAAAAATGCATCATTTGTAAATTTACTTGTCTACATGTTAGCTGTAAGTGCTATTTTTCCTGGGATTTGAACCATATATGTACCAATATTTTTTCTAACTGAATTGTATCAAATTCGTTTACAACCATACTTTTTAAATTTTGTCTATTAGGAACCTGATATCTTGGATCAAATACTTTAAACATATTAACAAAATAAGGATTTTCAACAATTTGGAACGGTTGTAAGTCAGAAATTATCCAGTCTACAAAAGCCTTGTCTCTCACTTGCTGTTCAGTAATTGGCCATGGATCAACTCTAGGAAAATTCAAAATCATTTGAGTATTTTTAATATTATCTATAATAATATTATGTTTGTAAAAAAGGTGTTTCTTTAAAGTTAATATTCCAGTTTTTGCTCCATATTCTTTAGAACAGCTTTTACATGTTTTTTTACCAGAAAGTTGTGATTTAAAATAGTTCCAAATAGAACTCTTTTTATTATTTAAATTTTCGTCATTATTTTCTTTTTCTTCCTCTTTATTATCTAAAATATTTTCATCTTCATCAAGTTCGCATGGTATTTCAGCTCTTAATTGTTGTAATTGACTAGTTTCTGCAACAGAAAATTCCATTTTTGATAGTTGTAATAGTTGTAGTAACGTGTAAACGCGTTAGAGATAATCAGATGATCTTTATTTAATATATATATATCATATCACATGATAATCAGCATTTATGATTGGTTGAATATTTTGAACTAATTATGAACTTAGTTTATATAAAGTTCCAAAAATGAAACTGAGTTTCTATTAAACTAGATTCAAGAACTTTCAGTTTAAGTTCCTGAACCCAGAACTTTTAACATCCCTACCTGTGAATGCCTTGTGAAGAAAGAGAGGCATTTATGCTAAGAATGGCCATTTTTAAATGAATCATACCCTCTGAGCAAAAATTTCACTCGATAGTACACATGTGAGATGTTTTATAGTATGATGAGTGGTTTGCACAGGTTGAAAAGTGAAAAATCAGGCACCAATCAGTCACCAATCAGGTAGCTGATTGGTGACTGATTGGTG